GGATGGAGGAGATGAGCATTCCATTAACAGCGAAGTTTGAATAAATATACTAGTTAATGCGGACTTCTTGCTTACATATTGCTACGAATGAATGTACAATTATTTTTTGAGAAACATGGTCACTGTATTACGCCTGGAACAATAAGATTGAACTGTTCTTTAGCACGCGCAGCGAACTCCAGCCAAATATCCTCCCTCTCCCATGCCGTTGCGGCATGAGTATCATGCCCCAGCTCATCCATCAAAAGTGCACGTTCACCCCACTCCTCGGCCATATGGCCGTAACCCATATGAACCATCCCCATTTCGGCATGCAAAACGCCAATCTCCTCATCACTACGATCCACGCCAGCGCGAGCGTTGATCCATCGCATACGGAAGACTGCTCAAGGTTGAGACCAAGAACGCTTCGACGATATAGCACTTACACTCTTGCACGAACATTTCGTCAGAAATATCTTCGCGACGGGCGGTAAGCTTCCAAAACCAAGGAAGCTTGAACGTGTGTGAGTTCAGCAAGTCGTAGGCGTTGACATCGCAGCGTATGTCCTTGGCCTGCAAAAGTCTGTACCGACCCCGGTCGCGATCGGCAGCCTCGGCATACTCGGCATGTGCATTCTTGAAGCCTTCGGCAGGTTGCAGCCCTCGCATCCGCTCGCGGAAGACATTATACTGCTGAGCGTATACACGGACAGACTGATACTGCTCGCGCATATTGGAGGAGCTTTGGGCTTTGTCGCGTTGCGTCATTGGACGAGATCCTGGTGTTCGTTTGATAGTGCGACGAAAGATCTCCATTTGCACGACAAGGCTCATGCAGATCTCGTGTAAAAGGTGCGCCATCCATGCCACTCGTAGAGCTATTTCGTAGGCACCGGCCCGTGCCATCACGGCTGTGTCCAGAGGAAGGCCTCGTGAGGAAGGAAGGTCCACGGGACTGTACTCCGGCTGCCGAAGATTTGAGTGCCGAGTACCCGGCTGCCGGGCGTCCGGCTGCCGGGCTCGGCGCCATTCCCCTGGTTCTGTGTCCTCGTCATCATTGAGAGCACCCAACCTGACCCCAGTGCCAAATAAAGGATCACCATCCGGGAGGCGACCTAGAAGCTCAACGGCAAGCGTGTTGTGTTTCTTCACCCTGGCTTTGAGCGAAGCCCTTGCCGCACTCAGCTTCCGTTGATTGGATTCCGAGAGCGGAGAGTAGTTCTTTTCGAATGCCTGCCAGCTAAGCCTGCAACTCTCAGTTCATGTCCGTTTGCACGAAGTATTTCACGTACTGCTCAATCTCGATTTGTAGGCCGTTCATGATGAGCTTGACCAGGCCGGGCTCGTCCGATTCCTCCTTCTCGCGTTCTATCAATTCTGTCTCAACCGCGTGCTTATCGGGCGCTGATAAACACAGTCAGGTGCATAGTTAAGGAACATAATGACCACCTACTTATAAAAGAGCTGTTCAGGAAGTCGTCCATAAACTTCGCATTGTAACTTGCCGGGTTCCGCAAGTGCACAGTGCGCTCACGGTACACCACCTGGAGTTGATGCTCCCAGCGCGCACGGCTAATACTAGAGCAGAGACCGTCCATGGTCTCGAGGAGCGCCATACGACGCGTGCGAATGGCCACCTTCTTCTTGTACTTGCGAATGATCGTGGAGGCTGAAGATATGTCAGTAACCGGCATGCCGGGACTGCCGGAGTGCCGAAGGCGTATCAGGCGGCTGCCGGGGGGGCTGACTTACTCATGTTACGAATTTTCTTGAGGTTCATGTCGTTCATGTTGAAGTTGATGGTCTCCTCCCTGTTGGCACGGGACATATTCCGACACGACTGGGTAATCATGTTGAGAATGGACCATAATGTCTCGAGAATCTCCATGTCGATGAAGCCGATGCCCCAGACATACAGACCGGAGAACCGGCCGAAGCACTCTCTAACATGCGCGAAAATGTGCCAGGCACCCACAATGCCGGTAAGTTCTGTCAGAAACTCCGGGAATGAGAGGTGACCGAAACGGCGGAAGCGCTCCAGTAGATGAACCCCGTATTGACACCAGATATCGTAGCCAATGATGAGGCGTGTGGAAATTCGTGGGTCCAGATTCAGCTTCATAGAGTTGTTCAACGCGTAGTCGGCCTGGGCTTGACTGGACTTTATGAGTAAAACATTACAGGGTAAGAGAGCTTCTCACTTCTCTACAAAGTAGATGTCCACGGTCCCGCCCGGCAGCATGCCGCCATGCCGGGCACAACAGATAGAAAGGATGCCGCGGATGTCTTTAGAAGGATCGGCTTTGGCCGACCCGGCACCTGCGGCAGTATGTTGGTGACATAGGTCGTGATCCTGCGTCTATTACACTATCAACGTCTATTCGGACAGAGCAAATTATGAGAAAACTCACCACTGTGGAAGGAAGATCACGGTCAGTCTTGGCGACCTTCGTGCATCTGGCAAAGTCGTCTGGGTCTGCTAGAAACCCTGTGCCCGGAAAGATTTGCACATTATTTCCCGGACGACGGGGTGTCGTGTGTTCAGCCTTCATGTTACCGTCTATGGTCCATGCATTGAAGTACCTGTCCTTTTGATGCTGTGGCAAAGATTCGAAGTTTCGAGGGACATTCCAAATGTAGGGGCACGCAATGCAGCGATAGGCCATCTCTCCGGCCTGCGGTGCCCGGCGCTGGGTGGGGTCTTGATGGGCAAATCCAAACTCTGTATACTCTCTCAGAGCTCTAAACTCCCTATGAACGCGGGTGGTAATCGCATATTTGTTCTACATGAATATGAGTTGTCATGGATCACATTTATAAGTCGTGAAGTACGAACCACAGTGGCAGCAGGATCTTCAGGAACCGTATACCGGCAAATCTTTTTCCAATACGACTCAACGGGCGTATGACACTCAACTTCCTCTATGAGGGCCTTTTCCAAGCTTCCGACATCATAGGCTGTCGCCGGATCCTTGGTACTGGCAGGGAACAAGCCAGCCATCAGGAGCTGCTCATGCTCGGGAAGATGCCCCTCGCATTTGCAAAAGTTGACTCCCAGTCCATGAACCCCGTTGTCGTGCACGAGGGCTAACACTGCAAAGCCGTGGAGATCGTATCGAGGAATGGCAGCCGAACTACGCGGCGTCGGCCGCTCTTCGCCCAGCCCGGCGGCCCCGGCCGGTTCGGCGTTCTCGGCGGTATTGTCGGCCGGTCCGGCAGGTGCTGTGCTGGTGTCGGCGCCCTCGGCAGCCCCGGCAGCCCCGGCAGTCTCGCTATCCTCTCCCGCTCCAGAGGGTGCATGCTGAGTATCATCTGTCCCTCCCTCCTCCTCCTCCGGCTCGAGATTCTCTATCTCTTGATACGCATCGTAAGCCCCATACAGTACGTTGAGTTCTGGTTCAAATGCACTCTCGTCGGGATGGCACAGGGGACCCAATGGCTGGGCTTCTGCCGCCGCCCACCCTTCGGCCTCACCCATAACGTCCTGATCCATTCCATCTTGAGGGGATGGACGACCTCCAACGGAGAGAATGTCGGGCGCTACGATTCCCGAACCTCCCGAAGGGACCGCTCCCGATGCCGGCCGTGCCGGCCCTTTCCCTTTATCCCGTCGTCTAGATCGTAGTCCGGCCGGGACGCGAGGGGATATGTGGGGCAAAAAGCCCGCCTGGTTCCTAGGACACGGTTGTCCATTTGGAACATTGTGGCACAAGTGCAAAGCGACCCCGGCCTCACGCAACCATGTGCCTCGATAGTGCTTCCCATTCCACCAATACACCCGATGAAAGGGGGTGTTTATATGCGCGTCACGGATACAAGAGATGCACATATCCCTGTCGCGGAAACACTCGACACACCGCCAGTCAGCCGCTCCTCGAGAAGGTCCCTTACATCGTTGACAAAGGCCGTCCTTAGGACGACTTTGACGCAGAATGAGGATCCAGGCCCACTGGGGGATGTTTTGAACAAATTCACGAACATGTTCGGGCCCGCTCTAGTATTTTGCGTGAGAGTTATGATGTAGACACATAATTTGCTACGCACCGGACCCCTTTGTTTAGCCTGTGGTATCTCAAAGTGCTCGGGCTGGCCGGGGTCGACTCCCCATGTGGGCTCATCCCGCTCGTAGTCGTAGGGCTGCCGATGACCGGCATGTCCGGCAGCGGTGGCGGCTTCGGCCGCACCGGCACGGCCGGCAGGCCCGGCAGGCCCGGCAGCCTCGGCATCCGTGCCCTTCTCGGCCCCTGTCCTATCTCTCCGTTCGTGTTCTGAGCCATGAACATTGTCGGACTCCACTACCGAGGCCACGATGGGAGTTTCAACCGCCAGAATCGAAGGTAATCTGCCCCTTAGGGCACGCTCGGCAGCCTCAGAAGCCTTCGTTCGGCCGTAACGCAGTCTGCCTGTTTTACGGTCAATCGAGACCTTTTGGTTGTATCTTCGTGTATTGGACATAGCGAGCCGGCAATGCTAGTACCTCAGAGGGGGAAGGCAGAGACACCAGGGCAAAAACGGCATGAACACCTCTCAAGACCCTTGCCACCTTGGGAAAAGAAGGTGCGTTCACATCGGAACTCGGACGACTGATCGGGAGAACTACCCCATTTGCCTCTCACTGTCATGCTGGCCATTCACCCTTTCCTCGCTGTGCACCGCATTACTATTGACCCGTCGGCATTTGATAGTGATGGAGACCCGAACCGCGCACACCGACTTGCCCTTCTGGTACTGCTGACCACGAAGCAGTGGAATATCTTGCACTGGGAGGTCCTGTGCGACAGCCTTGCTGGAGATGCCTCTATTGCCACCGATCTTCAGGCGCTTACCGGCTTCCATCAAACGTTTCACGCCACTTCTCCATCAGACTCCCAAAGTGTCCTGGGAAAGTCTATCTTAGTCTTCCCAGACTTCCATTCGGTATCTCAGCAGTTTGTTCGTGTCATGGTTGCGTTCCGGAGGGTCCGGGAACCGGTATGTCCGTAAACTCCGGCGCTCCGGCACGTAGTTAACAATGCAGTTTCCCAATTTGGTTTTACGTGTCGCGATAGGAATGGTGGCCTTCCTGGCTGTGCATCAGCATGTGCTCAGTCAGGACATGGGAGCCGATGCGGGCCCCATGAACCCGCTCCTGGTGATAGACGTCTTACGATCCCTTCTGGCATGTTGCGAGGGTCGCATTATAGGTGCCGAACATGCCGGAGCATTGGTTAGCGTCTTCGTCCTTCTGGTTCGCTCCATAGAATCCCCTGACAGGTAATTGCATTCCCGTTGCATTGTGCTCAAAAAATTGAATTCAGCCATCAGGGATAAGCGCTTGGCGTTGCACGCCTTTGTTGGCCAATCTCTCGATGTCAACATTGCCGCCGAGAGTGTTCTATACACCTGCCTGGAGCCACGTTGTGACCTGAAACTACCCGCATGGGGTGTTCTCACGACAATGTGCGATGGCCGGCGTCTTCTTGAAAGTCAGCAGCAGGCGGCAGCGGCATATGTTCTCTACTATGGGAAAACGGGTCTATCTCCACAGCATGCGCGCCTTCTCGAGTTGCGAGACTGTTCGCACAAGTACCTCGCCATATTCTGCAACTGTGGCTGTCTCAAAGCTGGGCTCGGTGCTTGTACTGGCTGTGGGAGAGCATATTACAACTCGCCCGCCTGTCAACAGAAGTACGTAATTGAACTTACTTTATCAGATCACAGCGCTCAGAACACCTCAGGGACTGGTCCCGGCATCGTGACACCTGTCGAGGTGTATGGCAGGCCATTGCTCACTTGACAATGGATATGCCTCATGAGGGTGTTGAATGGGAGGCTTAGACCTTGACAGCAAGACGAAGGAGGTAGAGCGCCGGTGGTGCCGGCTCCCGGCATACCTATCCGGCTGCTTCGGCAGGGTTACGGTGATCTCGGCATATGTAACAGTTGCTTATGATGGATGGATATAAGTAGCTATGTGCCTAGCCATCATTCAATACTTAGGACCTACCTTTTAAGTACACCGGAGCTGCATGGGATGATCAGCGAACCCCAATCAGTGCCTGTCAATTGCTGTCAAATCATTGATGTTCCCATGGTTTCCGGTGGAGCCTAGATATCCGTGCATGACACGTCTCTCATGTCACGTAATATGTGCGGCCTAGACAGAGAACCTTTGAGACTACCAGAGGATTGTCATCTTATGCTCTGCTGGAGACGTCGTATCGAAAGGGCGGTCTATAGAACATTCGCATCTTCGGCTGCTGGTGTGACGTTCGGCTGCCGAACGGGGTTTTGCTGCCGGACCGGCCGCACCGGCACTTGTGGCACAGTGCCATATTTTGTTTTCCTTGCGGGTATGCACTCTATAGGGGCCTAGGCAATAGGTTTTTGTTTGTCTAGCCGTATAAATTACATGCAATGCACTTTGTTTTGGCTGAACAGTGAGTATATGTCCTTTCGGGGAAGCGATGATGAGTTTTGCATTTGGCGATCACAATGCTCTTATACAAGATTACCGGTATCCAGATTCGATTTGGTGTGAATTCCCAATATACAAGTTGTCAGTAGTGGTGCATGTTCTTCTCGCAAATAGTATTGTAGCAATACCCGGATGGCAGTGCTGTTTACGACCGCCTGAATGCAGGTTTAGACAATGAATGTGGGAAGGGCAGCCAGGCTTTACTGCCTGTATCTTACCTCGGAAGCATTCCGACAAGATGCTGAGGATACATGAAGCTTTCAAAGACCCATGCACAGCTTTCATACGTCACTGGATGCTTTCCGAAGCTGCGTGGATGAGCTGTAGGTCAAGATGTAGCCGGGAGAGGCATGGCGCATGTCGAAATGCGAGCTCGGGAAGCATCGCCGAGCCCTTCGGCACTCTCGGAAGCGATCCGATGCGTGAATATGTGGATAGACACGTTAGGGAATACTGCCCGGCTGGTATTCCAGAAGATAGAGAAATCCCGGCCAGTGGGGAAGGTGAGGTGAGCCAAGACGTTGCCAGGCGAAGGGTCGCGAGAGGCAGAATGCGTGTTTGGTGAACATCGTTAAGCCCCTCGGCACTCTCGGAAGCAATCCGAGACCAAGAAAAGTACTCAGACATGTTAGGGCATGCCGCCCGGCTGGTATCCCTCAAGATAGAGGCATCCCGGCAGGTGCGAAAGACGATGTGAGCCCACTGGCCTGTTTGTTGGGAACGAAAGGCAGTCGACGCGGCTTCTTGTTCGTCCCAGTCCATTCACCTTCTCGGCCTTTCATGTCTCGTCGTCTTTCGCACCTGCCGGGATGCCTCTATCTTGAGGGATACCAGCCGGGCGG